TTTGTTGCGCCAGCCATTCCCTCTTTCTCTCCTTGTCAGCAGAGACCTTGATGGGGATTTTTAAAAAAAGAAAGAAAAAGAAAAAGAGGGGGAGGGGAACATCTCTCTCTCCCTCCCCCCCCCCAATTCCAGGAGCCCCAGGAACAAAAGAGAGAGAGAGAGAGGGAGGAGGACGGCGGCGGCTTCTGCTAAAATGGCCCGCCTGCCCATCCCAGTGAGCCGATGCTTCTCTTTTGGATGCTGATGGGAGGCAACCCGCCCCCCTGTCTCTGAAGTGGGGGGGGCTGCCAGTCCTCAAGAAAGGGGGCCCAACCGGCTCTCCTGATGCCGCCCCCCCTCCTTGCAAGCCGTGGTGTAAGAAGCCCGTCTTTGTGCGCACCGACAAGAGCGCCCGAGAGAGACGGCCATTTCCAAGGGTGGCCATCAGAGCCGAGGGGGGGGGGTTTGGAGGGAAGGAGGAGAGAGAGAGAACCCAGGCGTTCGGCCGCCGAGGTGGGGGGGCTCCTGACACATCACAGGAAAGGAGGAGCGAAGCCCGGGCTGACGGGCATGAAAATGGCGAAGGCGCGTTCAGAGGCACCAAGGGCCCCCTCGGACTCTTCCTCTTTTGGAAAGAAGACGAAGCGGCTCCTTCCAGCGAGGAAACTACAGCCACTAGCCAACCCATGTGCCTGCGGAGGCTGCCAGGCTGTGGACGATGGGCAAATTCATTGCCGCCCCCATCTCAGTTTCTCAAAATCCGAGATGGATTGGGAAGCTGTTTCAAGGAGCGGGACGACCGTCCCCCCAAAAAGGCCACAGGACCCACCCTTGGGGCACCCGGGAAATGGAGAGGATGCTGCATCACCAGAATTCATCTTCTTTTTGTGCTGTCGCAGCCCAGTTTGATGCCCGAGTCAAGGGAAACGGGCCGACAAAGCCCTCCCGAGAACAATGAAATAACAAACACACTTGGATTTTGGGGGTGGTGGGGTGGGGGATGGTTCATTACTGTCCTGAACCCGGATTCTTTTTCCCACCTGCCACTGCCAGCGGCACTTCCCTCATGACAAGACATCATTATGTACCTCACAGTCACATTAGGAGCCCTTAGCTGAAGAAGACGAGAGACAATAAAAATAGAAATAAAATCAAAAGAAGTGCCTTCACACTCCACACCCCCATCCGCCCTCCAAACTGGCAACCGATGAACAACATCGGAGGCCAAAAGCAGGCATTATGAGGACTGCTAAAACATCACAGGAAGGGAAGAAAACACTTAAAAGCACAGCATAGCTGACAAAACAGTCTTGACTGTGCTTGGTGATTAAAAACAGCCTAAGAGGGCCCCAGGTTGGGCTCCCCGGGGAGGGTGTTTCACACCTGGCAGGTGGCTACTGTGGATTTCTGGTTTCTGGCCCCACCTCAGGAGAGGATAAAACCCCAGCAAGGTGAAATATCTTGAGATACAGCATCCTGATAGAGATATTTCTCTCTCCCCCCCCTTAGTAAAGAAGTACGTAAGCCATGGAAAACGAGATCTAAATCAAACGACTGGTCTCCACCAGAGTAGAACAGAGGAGAAACTTCCCCTTGGACAATCGAGAGGTAAGAAATGGCGACCTAAGGTTGACATTTTGGAAAACTGGAAGGCAAGGTGGTGGTTGAAGAAATGGACTGACGAGGTTGCCTTTTCCCCATGACGGTCGGTCCCCAACTGGAACAGAAAAAGAGAGGAAGCCGCATCACAGCAGATGCAGACCGTACCAAAAAGCATCACCAGAAAAGCCAGTTTGGTTTTAAAAGCGGTTCGCTCCCTTCGCCAAACCACCCCTGGTCCGAAGGAGGAGAGTGTCCAACCAATCAAGGAAATTTAGGCCAGGAAAATGCAGGAAAAGGTCCCTGCCCAAAGCCATATACAGTAGATGGAACTTGTAAAAATGGTTTCAGCATGCTCATTTAAAATAGCCGATTGAAGATGTTCTGTATAAGAAGGCTCAACACTTTCTCTCGGAGTCTGGAGTAAACCCCATCCTAGAGGTCAAGAGTGACCGCAGGGAGACACTTGCTCAACCACAGGGATACAGCACAAACAACATTAGTGGGGTTGGAAGTGCTCTGTGGCCACCACTTCCCTTCCCTAAAGTTTCCAAATACTTCTGCTCCTCTGAAGACATTTCTTCACTCCTCCTCCTCCTCCATTGCTCTAAGATTTTGTCACTATCTGCTTTTATTTGTGGATTTTTCTCTGTTTTAGAACTTTACCTCCTCCTGATCAAGGTTCTGGTTTCCAAATGCAAACATGTAGTTTTAAAAGGATTTTTCTTTTGTGGCAGACATCACAACACAGCTGTGCGCTAGCTCTGTGAAATCACACATACGAGCACAGGAGCGGCACCTTGTAAGGTTCAGTCTAAACGGATTTGTATCTGCGTTTAATGCTGTTGCCCGGGATTCCTTGAGAATGAAAGAAATGATTCCAGAAATGCAATGGAACACAGATGAGATGTTTGGAAACCCTTACGTCTCAAAGCAGGCACATCCTTCAAAAATAAACACGCGGTGTCACAGAATCTGAAAGGTGGTGTCCGGGAATGGCCGAAGGAACTTATCTTGGCCGTTTCTCCCCTCCTCTCTTTCTGCTGTTGGCGTCTAATATCTGGCACCTGCTATTTCATCGCTTTTGCTGCTCGTGGATTATTTATTTATTGTTGCTCCTGCTTATTGCCATATACCAGTTTCAAAGGGAAAAACAGATAACCCTGCGATACGTCCACCTGCTCCCTCGATCAATCCTGAAATGTCATGGGGCTGAGTCCCACACTTGGTACTTTTGAGTGCCAATTTGGGAAGGAAGGTGGCATACAGATTAAATTTTAAGGGTCCTTTTAAAGGAGAAAGGCAGGATAAAAAAAATATTTAAAATCAACAAAATTAAACAAAAAGACCAGTCGGCCCTCTTGTCTCCGTCACGAAGACACTATTCTTTTTGATACCCTCTTCTTATCGGATACACAAGTTCTCTGCTATAAACTTGCGTTAAAGGAAAAGTCAGCCAACGAGATGAGTCGGTCCGTTCGTTAATCCATGGGAGCCAATTTAACGAGTGGGACTAAATTATTTATTTAATTTATTATTTATCTAAATTATTTACTCACAATCGTTTTAAAACAGAAGAGGGGAGCGCATTCGCCCTGAGAATAGTGTCTGACACTTATCTTAGCAGCATCAATGAAGGTCTTGGGAATGTGCTCTTTTAAAGGTGGAAAGCTGGATTTGGGAGGATTTGTAATCTTTAATTACAAAGCAGGGGGTGAGTGGGGAAGGCTTGAAATCCCAGTTAGACTACAACTCCCATTAATCTCTGCCAGCATAGCCAATGAAGGTGCTACAGTGGGGGTGGCAGTTTTCATAGCTTCCAAAAGGCCATGCATTTCCTGTCCCAAGGTTTGAAGTCTGTGCTTGGATCACAAGGTCATTTCCGTGGCCGTGGCCTGAAAGTAGACCATCGTTTTTCTAAATATCTCCTATATCCCATCCCCCCCCCAACCTGGCCTGTTCAAAATTTAACAAACTGAGCAACAGAGAAAGTAGATCCTATAAAGAAAAACTGCCAGTAACGCCAAGCTCTGCTCATTCGTCTGCAACGGACCTCCTTCCTCTTACTCTCGGAACCCTTTTCGGCCACGGTTTATCCTGACCACTCCCGAGTCGTAGCAGCTCCACATCTGGAGCTCCTGGGCAGAGAAACACAGTCCTTTTTCTGGATTCTGCTCAGAAATGAATCACTGCCACTGGACTAAGTCGTGAGTGGTTTCTTTGCAAGGAATCAGGAAGATCCTTGCTGCCTTTGACTCACATGAGGAAAAGAAAGGGTTCGTTTAAGCAGCTTTGACATGTCAAGAACCCGGGAGTGGTGCAATTGACTTGAATAGTCAAACAGCTCACAGAATAGTCAGTTTGACCAGGAAAGGATAACAAAAAAAGAGGTTGATTTCACAAAGTGTACTGGCTGCACATCTGTCAGGTCTTACCGACACTCTGGGCAACAGGACCAGGTTTGGGAACCAGGGCTCTAGAGCAATTTCTCAAGGTAGGTTTTGAGCCAAAACACATATTCAGAAAGCTGCTTTCTTTCCTGCTCTTACAACCCTTTCTCTCCATCAATGTGATCTTCTCTATGTACACCTCCAAGATCAGATGTGCAATGGAGGCTGTTTACATTTCACAGATGCTGGTGGCACACATGCTTCTCCTTATAATGTGTTTTCACAATTGTACCTTTTATGACATTTGAGGGAGCACTCCTTCCAGATATGGACTATCTATAGCAGTGGTCCCCAACTGTTTTGGGACTGCAGACCGGCTGAGCCTCTGAGGAAGGCAGGGCAACTCCCCCACACCTGGGTGGGCGCTCTCTCTCTCTCTCTCTCGGGTGCATGTGGGAGGCGGGAGGTCTGTTTCCACGGCCCGGTCTTGCTCAGGCCATGGACCGGCACCGTGCTGCAGACCGGGGGTTGAGGACCTCTGATCTATAGTGTCTGTACATATAATATAACGTGTCTACTTTACTGCCACCTAGTGACACTGAGTAACATAATACTTATCCAGAGACTCTGATCAACAATTTGTCCCCCACCTAACGGTACGTTCTGGCAGGTATTCAACCACACTGACCTCCAGGACCCTAAATCTACAATACATGGTCTTATTAATTTTCTTTTGTTCAAATTCATTATTAGTACAACTGCATTATCCAGAGCTTCCAAGACAGGCCAGTGTTAGGGACAGAACAAATTAAATAAGCAAACCTTGGCTTCGCAGATGCTGTTACACTTAATAGCACAATTTCCATATCAAAATTTTAAAAAATTAAAGGGGAGTACGTTATCAACATTTGTGGGAACAAATTAAATATAATTTTGTCCACTTGACCACCATGAATGAGAATTCTGTATTAGCTATAAGGATTTTATGGTCACCACGTCCATTTATTTAAACTTTATTTTCGCTGCGCTCTGAAGGCTGAGATAAGATATAACTTCAGAAAGACATAAGAAGTAAAACTTTGAAATATCTATCACAAGGAGAGAAAGAAGATAAAGGGGAAGATAATACTGATGAACATTTATTGCAGGAGCCTACTTTACTCATGGACCATATCCGGTTCAATATTGACACACTCACGCAGGGCTCCAACGGCAGAAAGATGATTTGATTGTGTGCCCGTTGTACGTCATCAGACACACAACCCACATCTTCATCAGATCACAGCTGGAGGTCTGTGCCTGTAAATATTGAGTCGGATCCGGGCCACTGTGTTTGGTGGTGCTGGTTCTCAGGGAAGCCTGCTCAAGGCGGTCCATGCCCGTCTCTAATCAGGAACCTAAATGGGGCAAGGAAGAGGGATAGGAATCAAGAAGGTGGGCCATCTTGAACAGTGGGTTGTGGCTGGCTGCA